ATAGTAATGATTAATAGTAATAAATCTTTTTAATATTTAATCTTTTTTTAGTGATATATTAGAAGAAAGTTTTACCTTTTGTACTTTGACATTGTCTATTGTCTCGAGGTGCCTTATCAGTTTATAAATCGCATTTTTTACATCACTTGTTACGGAACTTGTGATCGTGCCATCATCCATATAAAAGAATTTCATATCCTTCAAATTTAGCTACACGAATATGCATCTTTGATCAAAATTTGCATAAATAAACATAATATATGTTATGCAAATTTTGTACTATGTATATTAATTTTATAAATTTCTACCGTTAGCTTCTCTAATTATATTTCTCTAATTATATTTATTTACAATTTATAACTACTCTTTAAGTTATAAATCGTAAGTTTAAGTTATAAATCACTATTTACAATTTTAATTTGTTTCATATTAATATATTACATATTATTATATTCAATCAAATATTTTTGAAAAAGCGGTAAAGGAGTAACTAAAATTTAAAAGAATAATTAAAATTTAAAATTTCTGACCTTTTTATTAAATATAGTCTTAGCTTCATTTGACTGTGATAATACTGTCAATATGAGAGGCAGATCCTTGGCATATCTAACCATTGAACCGATCGAAAAGAATGATGACCAGTTTTCATCATTTGAGCCAGGTTTATGACCATCTATTGATATATAATCTAAGAAAAAAAATACAAAATTTCTATTTAAATTTCTATTAGTTATTTCTAATTTATTCTGTTTTATAAACGAGTACAAGAGATTCTTATTGTTTGAGAATATTTTCTCTTTTTTAATTTTTTTCTTCTTTTCTTTATTTCCTCTGATTGGAAACTTACTAGGCGTGGGTTTATGACCAAAAACACCACAAAACATTGCCGGAAGTCTGCCTGAACCAGCAATGTCTGAAACCAAGCTCAGAATCGAAGCACCAGAGCCGAGAAGAGCAGCCTGATTATATACAATTGTTAAAAAAATTTATGAAATTTCATTATAAGTTTTGTTTAAGTAAAGTTTGTTTATTTTTTCAGAGAGTTTTTTTATTTTTTCATTTTTTTTATTTTTTGCTGAGAAAATCCCTTTGTTCATCTGGAAAAAGATGTACGAACCTCGCCACCGGAGGAACCACCAGCGGATCTTCGTGTATCATAAGGATTGTTAGTGGTGCCAGTTACTTTGTTGAATGTATGCCACCACAAACACAATTCCGGAGTGTTGCTAACGAGAAGAGGAATCCCGCCGGCCTTGCGAATTTTGGCCACAACGTCAGCGTCCTTCGTCGCTCTCGAGAGGATGTTCTCTTTCACTCCCACGGAATAACTCATTCCTAAAATAATTTTTTTTTTTATTTTGCGCATTGCTGAATTACATATAAAATTATTTTATGGACATTCCATTTAGATTATATATTTTTATTATATTTGTAAAAAGGAGATTAAAAAAAATGATCGTGTTGTTTCTTGAAGATAAAAATATGAAACTCATTGTATCCTGGGGAATTTTACATCGATTTTTGTTAGATAAAAATTCTCATATTCGATAAATAGCAGTTAAAATTGAAATTACTTTACTATGTCATCATCTTTAGGTAATATATGCAAAATATTTTATTATGATTTTCCTAGACTTGAATCTCTATGATATTTCAAGATTTTTAATTTATTTAAAAAAATTTGCCGTTAAGATGCATAGTCAATCTGTTGGTTGAGTAACAAACCAACGACGTCGACGTCTAGCATAATACTTCTAAGAAACACTCTTAGCGAGTTCTAAGAAAAACTCTTCTGTCATGGACCGCTGGGAAACAATTTTATTAAACCGTGCAAATTACCCAAATAAAGTAATATGTGCAAATGAGTTGTTCAAAGTCATTCAAATAGAGAAAAAAAAAGGTATATTAACAGCGAGGACATTAACAGTGAAGACACGAACAGAAGAAGACAATATATATAAATAGCTGACGACATGACAAAAAATTGCGAACGTCATTAATCTGATAACATGACACTAACAAGAAAATCAAAATTAATTCGACAAATTTGCGGAAATGTGTATAATAATGCTATAAAATATTTATTTTTTTTATTGCGCGGTAATTAATTGCACGTGATAAATTGATATTTAAAAACTGGCTTCTCCGTTGTGAATTCATTTAGATGTGAACGCGAATGTTAAACATGATATATGTCAACGAACAATTAAGAGAACGATTCTGAAAACGTATGACTGTAACGACAGTTCCATTGAAGCAAACATTCAACGGAATTTCGCGGGTGATCAACATAAATGTGGATTAATAGTTTAAATGTCAATACGAGAAATCATATTCCTGTTATTCAAGAACAACTCCATTGCAATTAACGCCCCACAGACGATATACGCATATATGCATATCTGTGAAAGTATATCGACTAGCTTCAGGATACACATACGTTCTTGTATTTATTACACGGAGGGATGGAAGTATGCTACTCACCTTGAACAGCGATACTTTCTTTAATCGTAACAGGCAGGCCTAGCAGTGGTTTCTCGCTGGCGATTTTCGCCTCGTCCATAGCTGTGGACTGTAAAAAGGCATCGATCTCACGTGCTTCTTGAATCGCCTCCTCGAAACGATCCTCCACGATAGCGTTGATCAACGGATTCACTCTCTTGCATCGCTTCACATACGCGATGATCACTTCCTCGGAGCTGATCTACCGAAAATTAAGAAGTATTGATTTAATTGAACGTCAAAAAAACCTCCACGTTTATAAACAATTTTAATTATAAATAATTGTAAGAAGCAGCAAGACCTCGCATGGGCATGTTCAGGAAAAGAGAGGGATTTAAGGGATTCAATCTTTCCCCGAAATTTAAAAAAAGAAAGTTAAGATCAAAAATCAAAATCAAGAGGAGATATTCTAAACTCTAAAAAGAAAGCAATTTCAAGAAAGCAATTTATTTAACGCAAAAATTGCTGTTTATGTGTTAACAGAATTGATAAATCTTCCTCCTGAAAAAAAATCTTAGATACGTCGATGAAATCTCTTGAAATTGGGAGACTTAGATTTACCTCTTTTCTACGAATTTTCTGCGCGATCTCTGTCGCTGATTGCAGCAAGATTTGATCCTCGATCGATGGACATCGTCGTCTCTTCTTTAAACCTCGCAATTTGAAGAACGGACCGAGCAAACAATAAAGAAGAAATAAGCTGTATTTGACTATTCTCTTCATTCTCATCTTTTGAATCTTCTACATGTAACAATACAAAGTGTTTTCACAATTTCTTGTTGAATAGCTGTTATTTAAAAAAATAAAATCTGGCATAAATTTATATATATTTCTATCATTATCAGTGGTTCTTATCGCATAAATTTTGGCCATATTTTTCTTTTAGAAAGCGTATTTCTCAGCTTCGAGAAGATTAGTCACGTATAATACGTAATTTATGTAACTTAAAAATTTCGGATGTCCCAGATAAGTGAAAAGTTTTAATGTCGAATCAATGTATTGTCACGTCTTACATTATCAACTTGAACTCACCGAAACGTAGTAAAAACGATGATTAGAGGACATTTAATAACAATGGAAGCTCCATAATGCGTTCAGTCACGTCTATGATTTATCCCGGTTGATCGTTTCTAATTAAAGCATCAATCTCATCGACTGTCAAAGCATGCTTGATTAGTTACAGAAGACGTATGTCGTGTCGAAAATCTAAATTACGAAAGCATGTTCAATTTAACTTAATATACTTAAATATTTCCAAGTAATCAATCGAGGGATTATATTACTTAAGAAAACGTTTCGACCATCGATCGAGAAGAAAAGAAGACCAAAAATTGTCTCGGCGTGTTAAGTTAAAATATATTTAATTTTAACATTAATTAAAAAAAATGATTTTGAATTTAATTTTCTCGGTAAAACTCTTTCCGATTCCGAAGCAAGAAGAAAGAAAGATCGATCGGCTTCGTAACATTTTAACAAATACTTTATATTTAATTAAATATGAAGATATAATTTGATATAAAAAATAAATGTCTCTAGATCGATTTTTCAGATCGCGAGAAAATCGGACGATCTTTGTGTACGGAATGTCGTCGTTGAATGCTAAACGTCTCATCATTTGTTCACAAAACTTTTTTTTTTAAAGCATAGGCAGTGAAAGTGGTTGTTGAATGTGAATTGTATTGCTAAACTTAACATCGACGTGAAATACCGTGAAATAACGTCACTGAAGAAAACGTCACTGTGCTCATCACACAGAGCCGACTTTACGATTTCAACGAAGGCAGCCGCTGTCATTTATGATAATCCTGCGGATGTTTTAACGCAATACTTTGTGGACACTTCCCTGGAGTTTTAGGCGTATCCCGCGCACAGTTTACAAATCAAAACAGCAAGAGGTACAAGACAAGAATTTTAAGAGACCCACTTAATCTCCTTCTCTCGTCTAACGTAAAATAAAATAAATCAAGTATATCGGTTATCTCGAACCGGTCGCATTGCAAATTTTCGATGTTTCGAAAGAGAGAAATAAGAGAGAAATTAAAAATAAATAATTTCATAAATAAAAAAATTAATTAATGTGATTTTCATCAAAGACTTTCTTTATTTTCAAAGACGATGAACTTCAGTGGTTATTAGAAGTCAGTTCACATTCGTATTTAACGTATACTAACGGGAATTGATTTGCGTAAAATGGAAATTTGAATTTAAATAATAATTTGGAAGCAATATAAAAGCTTTAGTAAAACGCTTTATCATCGTACAAGAAAAAGGTTATGTGAATCTATTACGGTTATGTAATTCTATGAAGTAATTTATCGAACATTGTATAATAAATATTGCAAGCTCTTTTTGTATATAGATTTATTTTTGTAATAGATTTTATGACAGAAAAAATTAATCTAATTATACAGCGTTTCCAATTCTGAAAAATTCATCAATTTTACAAATTAATTCAAATTCCTTAATTTAGATAAATCTTATTGTTAGAAATAATTTTTATACAATTTGTTCATTGACAAATTGTATTATACTCTAGATTTCTTTTTTTTGAAAAAAGATTTTAAAGTGGGTTATATTTTATTTTTTATATACACATTTTTTATTTACAAATTTTATTCATTAATTATATTAATTATTTGATTTTGAATTATTTTAATGAATTATAAAAATTCAGTTTCTATCACGTTCCTTAAAATCATACAAACTGATTGTATTTGCTTCATATTTATTGTCGTTATTACACATTTGTATATATGAAATAAGAATGATAATGATAAAAAAACATTTTATTTGCATGCACGAAAGAAGAATGATAATGATAAGAAAAGCATTTTTATTTGGAAATTACGCCAGAATTAGGTATATGTCTAACATAAATTAAACTCGCATTTCTTACCTCATTATTTCGTAATTGCATTATTATATCACAACGCACTCTATCATATTATCACAACGCACTCTATCATATTATCATATTATTACAACACATTCTGTTTATAAAATATCAAAGTTTAAACTATAAAAAATATACATTTTGAACAAGGCATGTCAAGAGATATAATTTAGATGCACATATGTATGCACATTGTACGACGATGACATACAAAAAAGTACTCTTGATTAGTTCACATATTTATCACAGTTTATACTTTTTATGTGTATCATATAAATTTATATAACAGGGATGAACGCGATAGCTTATTTAAATATATAGCTTATTTATATATTAAAAAAGAAATAAAATCATTTGGAGAACCAATTGAAAAAGTTAGTACACTATTCCTATATTGACATTGTCTCTTTATTTATCTTAATAATTTGATAAAAATTTAAATTAAATTTAAAATAAAATTTAATTCTTTTTATAGACATAATACATAAGATATAAAACACTTTTATGTGCATCTCTTACCTTTTTCGTGCGAAGAATGAACATTCGTATATATTAATGAATACAAATGAGAAAATAAAAATAAATTTAGATTTAATTATCTCACCTAATTAATTTTTACAGGTCCTTAGAGAAGCGCATTTTTCTTGGACTACACAACGAAGTATTTCTTTAAGGCGATCTTGATTAGCCACTCAGAATCGAATCAAGCGAGTAACGTCCAGTTACATCCGTCACAGCTCACGACTATTCATAACTGATTCGCACCGATACGCATGAAAGGAAGCAACCGGCTTCGAGTTTGAAGAAGCGACAAGTGGGGCGAACAAATTTGTCGAAGTACATTTCGTACCGTTTTATCCTTTATAGTGCTAGTATGTTATCTTAATAAATTTTTTTTAGTATTTCATTTTTTTGATCAGTTTATTATTAAGCTTCTATTCTTACATATAACTATTTAAAGGATTAAAAATTTATATATCCTATATAAATTTATATATCCTATGATTTGAATTTTTTAGTAGATGGTTTTGGCTATGCTTAAAAAGCCATTTACATGCAAATTAAATATATTTTTGATAAATTCATATCAATTGTTAGCATATTGAATTATTAAAA